CCTCCCTCCCTCCCTAATAAAATACAGGGAATTATGCAAAAAAAATCATTCTTAGAGAAATCATGCTATGAAGTTTTAAACTTCTCTTACCTGTGACTAGGAGTCTGGGTGACAGTAGTGGAGTGATGAGTGGTTGAGGTATAATGACTCGTAGAAAAAGACGTCTCTGCTTCTCTCTCAACAATATGCTCACTAGAGATGACATTTTTAGACACGTATTGCTGGACAAACAAAGAGACACAATTTGAAAATTCATGGATATCAAATACTAATATTGTACACATACAAATCTGTTCTTATATGTATTTTCTTCATGACAACTTCCATTTCTCCAATAGATGGAAAACCCTCTCTTGACCAGTCTTTTAGCTTAAATGAACGGAATTAATGAGTTACTGTCTATAAGTATACATACTATAGTTTAAAATCATAACTTTATTCTATCAGAAAAAGACCTCATCCATATCATTTCCAATTGATAACACGACTAGAATTAAAAACAAACTCTGTACTATATTTATTATTTGTGAGGGTTGCTATAAGTAAAAGCACAACAGATATTTGAGTGAAACAAAAGCATAGATGTACCTTATTTCAACTTTCAAACCACTAGAAAGACTTTTAAATATCTATATTTTAAATCTGACTTTCTTTCTCAATTTTGTATTACTCACGTTACCTTTCTGATATCATTGACCATTCAACTTATTGTCAATGGTAAAACTAACAAAGCCACTGCATAATTTGAAGGGTTTACAATAATTGTCAAGGTAACACATCTTGACAAAGCACTTAATATACATTGGGCCTTATATTCACTGCACTTAGATTCCATTTTATTTCCATCAGCAAAACACAGTAGCTGTCATTGCCCTTTATCAATGTGAACTTGTATTTTTAAAAGTTGATTTTCAAGTTGTGTTTCAAATGCTATTTGTTAAATTGAGTTAAATAACAGGAAAAGAAGTGGAAAGGGATATTCTTTGATGAATCAGAAGATTTATAGTCTCGTAAGCCCCAGAATTTAAAGAACTGTGTACCTTTATGGAAGCCCTGAAAGAAACAACTTGAATTATGCTTTAAATTCTAGTCAGTTCTGTTAATACAAGACTATTCCACATAGGTCTTCCAGGGATGTATAGCAGGCTCACTTTAAGGAGAAGGCACAAAGTGGCCTTTGGGCAACGTACATTCTACTCCTGCTTCTGGGTGGGGGCAACCTGAGCTCAGTGAACCTAATGCAAATAGTGTATAATGATTATCAAACATTCATTGTCACTGGACTAAATGTTTCCATATAGATTATTGTATTTAATGCTTACAATGACTTTCTGAAATAGCTATTCATTTTTAGCCTATTTTCATCATGAAATGTGGCTTTAAAGGTATAGCTTAAAGTCACACTATTTGAGTCATAACTGAAATACAAGCTATCATGGTAATGTGACTTATACATTATAACACACACAGAGATGGATTGGTGTATTGGTAGATGATGCAATTATCAATCTTCAGACTGTTCTGATGAACATGGTTGGGGGAGGGAGGAGATAGGATATGGTAACCTATGCTAACCTCAATCCAGCAATCTCTTTAAGGTCTTTGCCACAAAAGGTCTATGAATAAATCTGTTCCACTCAAAATTTACCTTTTCCTACTGTATTGTAGAAAATATTGCGGCAATACAAACTTTCAACTTTGTCTATTAAAAACTGTGTATCAGAAGGAAATTTAAAAATCTAGCAGAACAAAACAAGAAGCATTATGCTGGAATACAAGGTATATTTCAAAAGTCAAGAGATCAGTATGTAACTCTGGCCCTTATCTATAAAGAAAGGTTTGGCAGATTATATATAAATATTTTCCAGTATTGAATAGTCTATGATCTGGTTAAATTTAAAAGCCAAGTTCCTGGTAAAGTCTAATCAAAATATTTGTATGAGTATATTGAGAGGTCTTGAAATAACAGAGAAGGATTGACTGATTCAGCAAGTATAACATTCTCTCAGCTTTGCTACTGAGAAGCGTGTTGGACAAGTCACTTGACCTTTGCATGGCCTGACTTCTCTCTTTGAAAGTCAGGATCAATAAATCAGCAGATGCTACAAAGTACCTCTAATCATAAAAAATAACTTAAAAGTCCTTTCCTCAGTGAGCTGAACTAATCGGCCATAGGCTGGAGATAGCCTTCATTTCCAAATTATTAAAAAATACTTTTCTGATTCTTATTGTTCTTTTTCTCATTATGCCATTCTTATAAAGCAAACTCAGTATTATTCTTCTAATTCCTTTAATGAACATTTTATAAGAAGAAATGCGATGGTTTTACAGTAACCAAATCTACTTAAATAAAAAGTGTTTCCATTATTTTCTCCTGGCAAAATCTTGGTTTCCTGGAAGCCACTGTGATTTATGGTTGCATCTAATAACCTAAAAGCTTTAGAAAATAAACTTCAAGGTGCCAGAGTGAAAGGAAGAGTCTCCGTATTTTTCCACTGGCTCAAATCAACATACATTCACCAGCTGAACATTCTCGGGGGGTGGGTTAGGATGGTGCGGCCCATTTGCGATGTTCACCATGTTGTTCCGTTCAGACCGAAGACTCTGCCGAAGCCTATCATGAAGCTTTTTTCGCTGTTTCCTACACATGAAAAAGGAAGCCTTTAGTTTTTCTATAATTTACATTTCTTAGTATAGCAAAGCTTTCTTCTGCCAATGCCTGAGTAATTCAAAATGGTAGATTGGTAGTGAGGGAGAGGGCAGGGAACATATGCTACTGTATCTCAGAGTAGCAATTTAGATTCTTAAAAGTTGTATGGGATTCTTATAGAAATCTTGCTATTCTACTGAGGGTCAAGAAAAAAAAAAGGAGTAGAAAATAAATAGGTTGATACTTGCCTAAGATCACAACTTTCTAATAAATACATAATTGCCCAAGTTTTAGAGATGGCCAACTGCCTTAGCAGCACTTGGTGCCTCAGAATTCATAAGGCTTGTTCCACTCATATTTTTTTTTCTGTGAGCTCTTAAGAAAATGAGCTTAGCTTTGAATTTGTAAGTTATACATAGTCAGTATATACATAAATATCACATGTATATGAGTGATATTACAGACATATTTTGCCATTCGATTTGCTGTGACATGATCCTATTCTTGTAGAATATGTTTGTAGAATTAAGCAATGAGCGCTAAGATTGAGGCCAGTAAGACTTAGGAGAGTCAGTCCCCTGAAGGCCAATCCCTTTTGCTTTCTAGATACATGCTAACTCGTGGGGTAACGGAAACACAACATATGCCCTTGAGTGTGTGGAATAAAAGTGTGTTTCTTTTACTCTTCAATGCAACATTTGGATTATGATGATAATTAGACCAGAACCATGACTAGTTATGGCCAGACTATACTTTCAAATAAATAAACTCTTGCTAACTAAACATTGCAGACTGAAGTGGAGGCAGGAGGGTGCACAGTGCATGCACCTGTTGTGTGGACCACACTAAAGTATCAAACAGTGATCATAAATCTATTTAAAGTTTCCCCTTTAATTTTTTCAAAGCCCAGTTTTGCTTGATTTTCCTCCCAAGAAGTTCTTTTTATATAGCACACATTCTGAGAGGATTTATTTCAGCAATCTAACTAAACCACTCCAATGTTCTAAAAACTGCATTTTAACTAACATTATGTGTTTATTTCCTTTGGGTCCTTGCAAATTTGACTTGACGTTAGCAGTCCCATGCCTGGCACAGCTTTCGTGCCTATACTCTGCCATTGGTTTGCTTTATTTTTGTGGTACTATGATTAAATCTACTGCCTCCTGCATGTTATCCAAGTGTTCTACCCCTGACCTGCCGGCCCAGCCCCACATTGTCCTCTTACTGCACAGTGCCCGTGTGCACCCCCACGCTTCCGCAGAAGCCCTTTGCTCTACACCTCTACCCACGTAGAGGAACATGGTCACTTATCAGAAATCTCCAGAGCACTTTCACACAGATCGAGCTTTCTAATGTACATGATTAGGAAAGGCCCTCAAAATGCATTATTTACAGGGAAAAATAAAGGGGAAAGTCCCTCCACGTGGGTGTGGAGTCCAGTGTACGCTGCACAGTGGCCACCTAAGCTGTACCTGCACTAAAAAGAGAAAGGTATGGAGGAGGGAGGTTTACTTGGTTTTGCAGTAGGCCACCACACACATGATGCCAACCACCAGGAGGGCGATGCAGATGCCACTTATGGTCAGCACTCTCTTCTGGTAAAGCTCCTCTGCCTCTGGAAAGGGGTGAGAGCACATGTCATGAAGGCCACTTATAGTACCAAGGCTTCCTATCACTAAACAGTCGGCATGCTACATGGCACTATCCATGTTCACACAAAAGTAAATGTGTATCAATTCCTTACACCTACAGACATATGTAAGATACAACATGCTGTGTGCAATACTTTGCACATAAATAATAAAGCTAGCTGGGGTTATTAACAATAAGACATTATGCTCTACAATTACTTTAATATTAAGCAATATATAGGATATTAACTAGAGTATTATAAACATTAATTATAACATATGATTTTGTTAAACTACAGATTTTTAACATAATCCCTTGGATTTTTTTTTAAAGTAAAAAACTCTTGCAAAGACAACAGGAATCCACAGCAATAAATGGAGCTAAAATTAGTACAATGGAGATCCTCTCTTCTCTTCCCCACCTCCACCCCTAGCCTTTCTGTATCTTTTGGGTACATTATGTCATTGCTTCCCATCCAGTGGTCTTTACAAAGAGTCATTTGTAGGTTTAAAAAATTAAATTTAAACACATTTGCAAACATGAACTTGGCTTGTAGTCAGTAGGTAAACTGAAGTAAGATCCTTATGATTTATCAATAAATCAATACAAGAAGCAACACAGTAGGCAAAGTAAGGCACTGTATCAGAGAAAATCCAATGTGATTTGCTAGGGCAGTCTTGGGCCATCAGGAAGATGTGTTCTTCAGAAAGAAATGCTTATTATGCCATCAGCTGCATTTAAAGAACTTGAGTAGGGAAGTCAGTCCCTGGCACAATGATGTATAACCTTGAGCAGACTGAATATCTCCATATAATTAGCTAATGGACGTTCCCCTATGTACCATGCTTAGAATTTTGAACTAAAGGTACTGCTCTACTCAAGATATAGCTAACCACTAATTCACAGAAAAGTTTCTGTTTGCAAATCAACTTCTTTGGGAGATAACATGATTATACCAAGGCAGGACAACTTCTCAACAATGTTTATTAGGGACCTTGATTCCTTAAGAGCTGAACTTCCAATAGTCTAATTATATTTATTAGAAGATCATCACGAGCTCACTCAGAATGAGAACTCATGGTTGAGTTCTCATAACTTGCAGTATGAACTGGTTACTTGCCATTGTAATTAAGCTGGTCAAGAATTGGGGGATCATTGTGCACATGGAGCTGTCTTACTTGGACAGCAACAAGAGACCTTCAAAAATATTTCTATTATACAGCCATAGTTTCTGGAATGGCACCTTCTTCTCTATTGAGAGAGGGCAAGTCACAGGTGGTTTTCTTGAAATGAAAAAGTGGATTTTAATTTCTAGGATACAGTGAACCTTGACATTAAACAGAACATCTCCTACAAGCCGAGCCCAAGATAATCAAACCCCAGTTCACAGGTCAAGAACATTGTCAAATCAAATTAATAGAGCACTGATTATTAATAGGAGAAGGAGAAGTCAGTGGGAATAATATCAGAATGCTGCACAGATTACACAAAAACAAACTGAAAAGGTTGGAAGCAGAAAGGAAAAACAAACCAAGAGGACAGAGAGACAGACAGAACAACAGAGAGCAAGGAAGTCAAGTACAAGGGAAAATAAGGTTAAAAGTTGGGGAGCCATCTGAAGTCCCTGGCACAGCATGCCTGATACTAAGGGAGGAAGAATAAATAAATAAAAGAAAACCAGAGGTAGGAGAGGCTTAGGTGGGGGACACGGGGGAAGGGTTACCCCATACAGCATAACTCCTACCCTAGGCTGGCAGTCATGTAGAAGCCGCAATTAGAAAGCAAAGCAGCTGGTGCAATGCGGAGCAACAATGCTCTGGGAGGCAGAGGGTTGGTGTCACAGAGTTGTGTGCCACGAAGTCAAACAAGGACAAGGGATGCAAGTGCCTGTGTGTTAATTGCTCATGTCTGCTGCTTTCCCTCCCTCTGAGTCAAAGCACAGGGAATTACTTTTGATGAGGTGTCATCTATGAGGTGATGCCACTGTGACCTCCTTTCCTGACCTTGGCATCTCCATCAACTTCTAACCTTAGCTTAAACTTCAACAACAGAGGCGTCACTCCACTGGTCCCTCTTCATGGGACCCAGCGCAGAGCTGGAATGGGAGATTAAGAAAGAAGAGGGCCAGTGCTGTTGGCAAAGCCCAGGATGGCCCAGCTGTTTATTTTCCTTCTCATTTACTTTTTCTTTTAAAATGATAAAGTCAGGGTTGGTGTTGTGGCTAAGTAGGAATATGCTTGAGAAAGATATAGGAAGGTGTGGCTTTGATCTCCAGTATGGGAGAGAGAAAGAGGGGAGAGGAGAGAGGAGAGAGAGGGAAGAGGAGAGAGGGAAGAGGGGAGAGAGGAGAGGG